GCGTTTTAAGCGGCAGCAGCGGCAAAAAGTAACTCACTTTCTGAAGCCGATGATCATTCTATTTCTTACACCAATTTCACAAATTTTGCATTATTAATTTATTTTTGTACGCATAGCGCAGAACAGCTCGTGAACAAAGCCACCTTTTTCTTTTTCAATGTTCTCTTCTTTTCAATATTTCATAATAGTTTATAATGGCAATCAACTGTATGCCTAGTTGAAATACTTTCATTTAGTGGCTATCATCCCAACAATCGTTTCCAGATTAAATTACATCTGAAAATGTTTCGATATCTACGTAATAATTATACAATAAGCATTGCGACATCCGGCGAAAATTAGTTAAATTGTATTTCATGCCAAACAGGATTGAATAGCTTAAGCTATATAATAAAAAGGGAACATAATTTGCACTTATTTGTGTTTGCTTGTAATGTCCATCCTAGATCCGTCCTTATGAAGAATTTTGGACTTCTGGACGTTTGGAATTCTATACCTTCGTCGACTTCGGCCTCTCCAGACCCCAAGGTGTTTGCGATGCAATGGTTATGAATACTTATAGAAGCATTAGTCGATAGACATGTTTTTGCGATTGCTTCGAACATTGTTTCGTCGTTCTGGAATGATGAAAATGAGCTACTTTCGCTCGGTTTCTCATTGAGCGGAATCTCGTTCATGCTCACGAACGGTGAGCATGATGCGGCGGGACTGATTCAGAATTTCGTCTTTATTCCAAGAAGAAGCTTCAATTTTAAGAGAGTTTGAGCACCAGGATTTATAATTTTGGTATCATCTAAATTACTTATCCCGTTAGGCTTTGTCAAATGTTTGAGATCCAACAATGAGACCTCTTCCAAGAAAGTCAACCGAATAATATTCAGCACAAAAACTGAAAAGAAGGGTCTGCAATGTCTCCATTTAGGCAATGCACGCTTGCACGGTACATATGAATTTGCAATAGCATCGAAACTTGATTTTGGGAAAGGAGAGACCTTGCAAGAGAAGAGCTATAGTGGACCATTACGGGCATTGTTGGATTGGTCTTAGAATTTAATTACTTGAGATTCCGATTTTTCTAAGTTTTTCCGACCTAGGTCCCCGTGGTGAACCTGGGATCGAAGAGGCCGGACCCGAGACCCAGGCGCCAAGACTTGAGATCTCGAGACCTGGAATGGGGTCTCGGGAGACTGAACCCAGGCGGGCTGGAGCTAACACCCCAGCATTTGAATCTAGGTAAGTGGGACTCGGACCTAGGTCCTTACTACTAAACCCAGGACCCAGGGGGCCGGACTCAAAAGCCTTGGCCCCCAGACTTAGGACCTCGGGACAGGGACAAGGCTAGACTCGGGTCTCCGACGTCTGAACTCATGTCCAATATGGCCTTGAGTCCGTGGGGGCCACACCCGAGAACTAGGTGTCCGGACTCAATTCTCTTTTTTCACATTTTTTTAAGGAACTCATTTAATGAGCAATCCATTTTCAAGTTTAGATTCCTTCCAAACTTGAAAAATCAAGCAATCGTAATCCTATTTCTCGAGTGATCCGATTCCACCGTAAACTAAACAAGGCAAGATTCCCTGCAACGAAACCAAAGGAGGCGTCGGCGAATCTTGAACTCGAGAGGATCGTAGAATGTGAACGAAGTTGAGCTCACCCACGAGGGACAAATAAGACCGATTGAGGTGATTTTTCGATCTAATATGCACACATAAAATTAAGGTGAATTTTCCGATCGTGTGGACAACAGCCTTAATGCATATCTCGTTCATAAGCAGTGAGCAAATGTGCATATTAATACAAGTAGATTGGGCAAAATAAATGCTAAACAAGAAGATCAAGTGGTGGTAAAGATGTGACTAGATGACTTGTCTAAGCAGACGTGATGAAGCCAAATGAGATTTGAAAAAGCTGAAATGGTGGAATTGCAAGAAAATTTAAGGATGCCTTTGTTTCACAAAAAACTCAATAATAAAAGAAAATATTTTCCGAAAATATGCTTAGTTTTTCTTTGCTTGGTAATCCACAATGGAAATCGTTTTCTTATGTTTGGATTTTATTGAAAAATGATTTCAATCACGTAACTTTATTTTAGGAAAAAAATGATTTTTTAAAATATTTTTTTTTTATTTTTTAAAAAATCGAATTTTTAATTATTTTTTATTTCTCTTTTTTATTTTTATTTTATTTTTTGAAAAAATGGAATTTTTTTATTTTTAAATTTTAAATTTTATTTTTTCTAATCTTTCATTTTCTTTTTCCTCCTCCCTCCTCCTCCCTCCATTGCGATCGACTGGCGATGACCACAGGCGAGCTCGAGGTCGCCGGCCCTGATCGAGCCTGGGCTTGCCTGGATCTGGCAAGCCGCGAGCTCGCCGGCCTCGGCCGAGCTTGGTCAACAGAGCTCGGGCTCGCCTGAATCTGGCGAGCCGCTAGCTGGCTAGCCTCGACCGAGCCCAGGCTCGCCGACCTCAGCGGAGCTCGAGCTTGTTGCTAGAGGCCACCACGAGCTCGCCAGTCGTGGCGACTGGCCTAAGGAAGAAGAAAAAGAAAAAGCAAGAAAAGACAAAAAAAGAAAAGAAAAAGAAAGAAAAGAAAAAAGAAAAGAATAAATAATAAAAAATTCGATTTTTAAAAAAAAAATATAAAATGAATTTTTAAAATAAATAAAAATTAGATTTTTTAATTAAATATTTTTATAAACACAATTGTTTCATTAAGGACCTGAGCCCGAGTGTTGAGGACCTACGCATAGCCTTTGTGGATTCGGGTCGGAGGGTCGGGACTAGAGCTCGAGTATCGGCGACCTGAGCATGGCCTTTATGGACCCAAGTTCGAGCGTCGGAGCATCGGGTACGAGCACTAGGGGTTCGGGCTCAGCCTTGATGGACCCGGGCATGGGTGTTGGGGGCTCGGGCCCTGGACATCGAGGTCTCGAGCCCGGCTGTCAAGACCTGATCCTGAATGTTGGGACTCGGGAACCAACGTGGCGGTTTTCGTGCTCAAGCGTAGAGTTTCGGATCCAAGTGTCGATAGCTAATCATATTTCATAAAACGTTTTCTGGTTCTTTTAAAGGGGAAATTATTTTCCTGAATTTAAGCTTTGGTAAAAAAATATTTTCCGTTGACTTATTTTCCTAAGCAAACTAAACGCCGGAAAATGAGAAAAGTGTTTTCCTGAAAATTGTTTTCCGCGAAACAAACGCACCCCAAATTGCTTTCAAAGTAGCTTTAGAGACATCTTATACGACTAGCAATTCATTTATTTTTCAAATCGATTCATTTACTATCGATTATTTGACCGACTAACGCTTTATACCGAGATGGATGAGACACATCGTAAATAAACGAGTTAAAAAGTTGCAATGCTTTCTTTCGATCGACAAATTAACGTATAGAAGAAAATAAGAAAATGATTCACTCAATGGGGTCCACCTTGATTTACCATACCATGTTTCTTTTTGTGAAAAAAATAAGTTTATATTTCTTGGCCACGAATGAATAGACAACGGAGGTATCTTTCACACTATTTTGTTTATTGACATTGAAGTGAGAATTGCCCTAAAGTTCTTATGAAGAAGTGTAATTTTGGGACCACTTTTTGGTTAAGTCTAGGAATTTATGGGGAAAATAGACAATCACAACGATATCAATATCTAGAAGACCCAATATCGATCGGCTTTTGGATAGCTTTGATATGGAAGAAAATGATACTCAATCGGGATGCGTATTAACCGTAAGATATGATCATTTGTTGAAAAGTATGGGCTATTAAATTAATGGGGTTCACGTTTTCTTTTCATCGAGTTTCGCCTTTCCTATTTCGCTCGCTCTAGTGATCGACTTACGGTCCTTATCCCGAAAGTTACAACCGAATTAGTATGGTCCCGATACGACGTACGCGCTACTTTGACCCCCGTAATTTATTGTTCCGACCATCTCTTCAGCGAAACTTTCTCCTTTACAACCGAATTAGTATGGTGCATCCACATCTCCCGCGCCGATGGGAAACGCTTTAATTAGAATGAGAACAAACAGGCGTAAATCTCCATGCACAAAATCATCCTCCTCCATCCACCATGGAGCACAAATCTACGAGATGGATGATCCTCCCACCCCCACACCCCCTAAAAAAAAGCTCCATTTTGAACTTGATCCCCTAAAAAATCACACATTGAAATTTTAAACTTTTTTTTCTTCAATTATTGCACTCCTAGAATTCTTATTTCCACAAACAGATTCACAGCACATGTATTTTCCGCCGACAGAAAGAAACGCTTTAATTAGAATGGAAAACGAAAAAGAGCGTAAATCTCCATACGCACAAAATCCTCCTCCATCCACCATCGAGCACAATCCATGAGATGATCCTCCCACCCCTCAAAAAAAAAAAAGGGGCAACACAAAAAGGCTCCATTTGAACTGGACCCCCTCCAAAAAAATCACACGTATCGAAATCTTAAAATCTTTTCCTCTTCAATTTGCAAGGCATCAACATTAAATTTCACGGAAAAAAAAATGGAAAAATTTAAAAAAGGGAGAAACGAAAAAGAAAAAAGAAAAAAAAACACTTTACAGAACTTCCCCCTCTCTCTCTCTACTCTCTACTCTCTCTCTCTCTCTCTCTATCTCTAATCCTGCTTCGTCTATCAAAATACGTATCGTCGCCCCTCGGCCCCCTCCTCCTCCTCCTCGTCTCTCCGTTCAATTTGGGGGGGCAGTATTCGTTCCTTTTCTCTACGCGAAATCTCACACACTCTCTCTCTCTCTCTCTCTTTTCAGGATCACTCCCACACACTCTTCTTCTCCTCCTTCTCCTTCCTTCGCAAAACCTCTCTCTTAGGGTTTTTCCCCAGGTCCTCCACGCCCGTCGCGACCTCGAACTGGGCCCCGATTTCCTCGCCCGATTCTCGGCCCCAAAAGCTAGGGTTTTTTGTCCGCGATTGATCCGGACCTGCGCGTCGCTCGATTTGCATTCCCCCCCCCGATCGGTCGATCTGGATATGGAATCGCGAGATTTGCCCACGGCCCCCTCCCCGTCCGTTGCTGCCGCCGCGGCGGCGGCGGCGGCGGCTGCGGCTGCTGCTTCGGCTCCTCCTCCTCCGCCGGCGGATGACGAGGGGGGCGTTGTTCTGCCGGTCACCGCCCCGCTGGCCAGGGACGCGCTCTTCCGGTACCAGTCCCGCAAGTACGGCGAGTGCCTCGACTTCCTGCATCAGCTCTTCCGCAAGAAGGAAGACGATCCCAAGGTCATTTCCTTTCCCCGATTATCTGCTCTCTCTCTCTCTCTGTCTCTGTTGCGATGTTGAGTTCTTGCCTGCCCGTGCCCATTTTTAGCTGTTTCGTTGGTCGGATTTTTAGCTCGGCAACGCATGTCGGCTGATCGTCTGCGTTTTCTGTGGAAACGAGGGTTGAATTCGATGATGCGGCGTAGATACGTTGTGTGTGCTCTGCCATATGATTATCACAAGCTTATAACTGTGGACCTTAACTATTCTCCCTTACCGCTCCAATCGCGTTAGCAGATGCGTGGCAATTACGATCAAGGAAATTCAGGTGTTTGGACGGAGAAACGAACGCGGCGGATAGGTCGTTTTTATTTTCTCTTTGCCCGTGCCGGTGTGATGTTAGCATTTGGTGGCTAGCTGTCCCCGCTTTTCTTTTGTGACTAGTGGATGGAAGCCATTTGATGCGCAGTGGATTTGAGATTTTAAGTCTGGCAAACCTGGCAATCGGATTCTTCTGCGGAGTTCCCCAGTCCGGTTTCTTGCTATACGACGGACATAGGCTCGCCCTTTCATTGTCTTGCGAGGGTTGAGCGTTTGAGCGTACTCGATGCCCGGATATTTGGGTTGTTCCATGTCTCTATGTGCAGGACGCACACATACGGTGCATCCGGTGGCTGGTTCATGGTCCGATTAGATCTACGTGTTGCACAAGTACCTTGCATTCTGGTGCCCAGAACATGTGCGATCAGATTAAATTGTTGATTGGGCAACTAGTGTGATATTGAATGAAGTATCTGATCTGAGAATCATGGCTATTGAACTTTTCTGTCATCAGGAGGTGATATTGCAGTGAGAATAATAATGAGCTGGTCCGGTCAGTTTATTTGAAGATTTTCGGAGGGTTCAGCGGTGGTTATTTTAATCTTTATGCGCTTAATACCATTTCGTTGTCACTGTATACTCGATAATGGCACCATATTTGTTTTCTGTTTGCCTAAGCTTTTACAGTTTACTTTATTTGATCAGTAAACAAATTCCAGTTTCGGTGTCGCATGTTTAGTTATCCTTTAGGTCTGTTGTGAGCTTTTCTTCTACATGGTAAGCATGCTGTATCTTCTATTGGTTTGAGGTTTAATTTCTGGGTCTTGATTGAAATTCTGACTTCCTATCCACTTGGGCTGTTCCTGACTGTGCGTGCTTTGCCTTTTCTTTTAGTGCTTATATATGGCATTTCTTGAATAAAGAAGTCGTTCTTTTTGTATAGCTCGCCTAAATCACAATGGTCTGAGCTAAAAACATTTAGTGCAATGCAGGTCCTCCACAATATTGCGGTCGCTGAATACTTTCGTGACAGCTGTTCAGATCCAAGAAGATTGCTTGAAGTACTTAATAACGTCAAGGTGTGGCAGTCCTTCAAACACACTCTCTTCAGAATATGCGATCTACTCTTTATCCAGAAGTATCTGAAAGGCTTTTAGGTCTTTGATTTTTACTCTAAGCTATTGAGTTTTTAATCAATCTTGATATGTTGTGTTGAACACAGTGGGAGTAGGCAAGAGGGAAACACTGATAGTTGCTTCTAAATTATCATCTAGACATCGACGAAGGAGGTGAATGACTTGGAACTTTGTCTAGAAGTTTAAGAAAGGGCAAGGGCGGATCCTTTCTCATACATTGTGTGCTATTCTTTAAGAGGCTCTTCTCCGTTAAAGAGTGGTGAAACTGGTGGACTTCCTGTCTTGTTTAGAGAAAAATAGTATATTTTCTCAACACGGCGAGAGTGAGTCTTATGAAGCGGAGGAAATTCTTAGTCTGTTGTCTAGACAATGAGGAAGGTGGTAGCCAAATTTGAACTTACTTTGGAAATTTGAACAGTGCAAGAGCTAACCCTTTTGCTCGACATGCTCTTTTCAGTTAAAGGGTGGAGAATTTTTCGGTTGTCATACTTAATTTCTGATGAAAAATGGTGTCTTCTTTGACAAATTATTGTGAAATCCAGTAAAGGGTGCACAATTTTTTATGGGTGGTATGTTATCACTATAGTCTTCCATTGGCCGTTGAAGGCTGAGTGGTGACTTAGCAGTCTTTGCAGAAGGGATGAACTGTTAGTAAATGGATGCTGGTCATCAAAGTTGGTCAAGAGAAGCCTGATCATGTGGCCTTCGGGGGAATTGGTTTTCTCTAGTTTTTTACTATGAGGAAACCTTGTTCGGAATAATACGTCAGGCCGGGAAGGTAGTAATGGAATGCATCTAGGAAGAAAGGGATGATTTCGTAATCTACAGCTCTCTCTTAAGCTTGTATCGTGTAGGGATGTAATTCTCATGAAGGATCTCATGTATTATCTAGTCTGAGGAATTACTCTAGATAATTTTCGGCTTAACTCGTGGCTCCCTGGGTCAAGATTTTGCAAATGCAATTGCTGTCTGGGTTTTACAGAGTTTATCTTTGCACAAATGGATCCTGACTGTGTGTTGGCACCTACGCTCCCTTAGTAGGTGTTTGGTTTTTCCATTGGTCAAGTGTTTCCTCTATAATTTTTTCTTAGATAGACTATCGCGAAGTATGCAGCCCAATATATTTAGAACTAGAAACCCGTAACTGCAACAAATAATTGGAGATAACTTGGCATACATGGCATTCGGATGGTTCCAGCTTGTGTAAAATAAGCATTCGTAGTTAACCTGCATGAATTGTTCATTATATTCTTAGAGAAATAAAGCATCTCTCATGTGCTTTGTCATCCAACAAAGTAATCTTGGAAGAGATAGGTCCAGCTTGTAAAAGGAAGACAAGCGCGTGTATTTAGCTGTTAGTTTTGCTCAGGTGCAGTTGTAGATTTTCATTTCATTCCATGGGGGGCGGATCCAATCGTTTGATCTCTTCCCTTGTGATATGTGATATCTAAATAACGAACGCTACCTATTGGAAACCCATAATGGAAACTCTATAAGTAGCATCGAAAGAGATGCCAATTTTACATTATTGGATCCAAATTTTACATACTCAGGTCGTATTTTATCTGTACCATCAAGCCAGATCCAAACTTACACACTCAGGTCCAAATTTACATGAAAAGAGATGTCAATTTTATCTGTACCATCAGGTCGTATCTTCTATCATGTTATCTTGCTAATTTTTTATTTGGTTGATTTTATCCAGAGGCAAAGTGAAGAGCTTGCTCGTGCATCTTTGGAGCAGGTTGAGGTGATTGGCAATGCCGGCAACAAAGCCATTTTAGGTCCTAAGGGAAGTTCTACCGTGGCACAACAAATGAATTCATTAAATAATGCCAATATTCTTTACACAGACGAGTTCAACTCTTCTGTGGCAACATTTAATATTGTACGTATGAAGATATTATTCATTTCCAAGTTAAATTTCTCTGTATTTGATGGAAGAAGATTGAGCAATGTCATTGGTTATATTGTCTAACATGTTGTCGACCCTTTTGTTTATAGGCTGTCGTATGGTTCCACCTCCATGAATATGGCAAGGCATTATCCATCCTTGAACCATTGTATAACAACATCGAACCAATAGATGAGGTACTAAAGTTTGCCTTCTACAGCTTTATTCTCTCTTTCTCTCTCTCTCAATTGTCAGCTTACCACTTGTCGTTTATGTTTGAACACAGACTGTAGCTCTTCACATATGCCTTCTGTTGCTGGATGTGGCTCTAGCCTGCCATGATGCAGCAAGATCTGCGGTGAGAAGCTCTTCATATTCTTGATATTGATGCAAAGTCTCTAGTTTCTGATGGAATTGCTTTATGGACATTAAGGGGCTTCTTTTAGTTGAGGAACCGATTTTGTCTCTCCGATGTTTGCTATATAGAAGGTCCTTGCTTGGCCTTTATTTATGTATATTTATATGTAATGGCTCTTCCCACCAGATTGTAAGTGGATAATATTGTTTCAGGAGAAGATATATGAGTTTAGTTTTTTAACCTCTTTGGATTTTGGAACGTTTCTTATACTTGACAGTGGAGCTAAAGTACCATTTCAACCAAATTTTGTTAGTTTATGGCTGAGCCCCAACGTATGATTGTTATGGTATCGTACTCCTAGTCAGTTATTATCATTCTTTTTTGGGAATCAAAATATCAATGTGACACGTTTTATACAGTTTGTTTTGACCTAATAGTACTATTTGTCCTAGTGAAGTGCATTAGCTATTGTGGTGTCTTTGGTAGTTTAACGAAAATGATGATACATTGATAGGGCAATGAAACTTAATTTAAGCTGATATGACTAACTTGGTGTGAGTTGGAAAAATACTGAGCCATGAGAACACGTTAGCTCAATGCTTTAGCTTATTTTAATCGAGAAAGTTATATTTTGGTTAGTAAAGTGTTTCTCTGTTTTCAGTATGTCCCTGAGGTTTTGGTGTTTGGAGTTTATCTTGTCACTTTTCCGCCTACACTTTTATAGTCTATGCTGACCTATTTCTTATTGTGGATAAATTTTTAGCAGTAAAAGTAGTGTAACTTTTGAAGCCCGTGACACACAACTGCTTAAATGAATGATAAATCCCTGCAAAGAAGTTTTGTGCGATCACTGCCCTCCTCTTCTACGTCTACCTCGAGGACTGCTGAATTCTGGTATAAAAAGCGCCAGCAGTAAGGGTTTGAGGCATACTGATGCATGTTGTGAAACTGTACAGGCCAAAAATGAGGAAAAAAGTCAGGGCTAGATTAATATGGAGTGCCAACTCAATAGCAAAGTGTATTTTCCCTCCCCTTTAAAATTCCTTGCATATTAGGACGGGTAGATTAATATGGAGTGTCAACTTCAATAGCAAAGTGTATTTTCCCTCCCCTTCGAAATTCCTTGCATATTAGGATGGGGAAAGGTCATGGAGATTAGTCTACTGTACTTTTGTGAATTTAAAATGCCTGTTGCCTTCTTAAAGGACATGAAGATTTTCAACTTCTATGGCCTTAGACCAAAGTAGTTAAGATGATTTTTCAGTTTATTGCCAAAGGTTTAGGTAATAATGAACATATTGAAACAGAAAATGATTTTGTAGATTGGTGACTCATGTGATTGTTTTTTGAAGTCATGTTAGGGAGACATTAGCTAGAAAGATTACAACTCGTTTTCATTAAGATAATTATTGCAGCATTTGGATTAACTATGCTTGATCACATTTTGGAGTCGTATATCAATCTAGATAGTAAAAGGGCTGCTCTTTTTTGTTTCGTAATCATGCTACTCTTATATTGATTGTTGACCTGCTTATGATTTGGTTATAGATCCATTTTTTTTTTTTGGGTGTCATGGTTATTCATTCGTCCTTCAATTTTACAATCAGTTTGTCAAGATTAGAAGGTGTTAATCAGGCAACATTTATCCTAGTTATGTTTTAAATATGTGCAATGATCCATGATAGCCAAGGATGTTTCGCATACAGTTGTTGACTATTATTCAAGAATGTGGTTGCTCATTTTAGACTTTAGTTGTTTAGTATCACAGACATTCTTGGCTTGAGCTTTCCCTGTCTATAGACTACACATTCCTTATCGAGAAAAGGATTACAGATCCTCATGAGTCATTGCTCACTCTTTTGAGTAGGTATTTTAAACACATTTCACCCCAAAGCATGACATCCTTGTCGCTTTTTTATTAATGAACACTTCTTTTGGCTAATTACTTGTGAACTTACTGGTTTTTGTCTTCATCCCAATTCGTCTGTATATACTTGTGTGTGAGATTCAAAATTGGTGCACTTTTGTCTTCTGCCATACTTTTTCATTTGTGTAAAAGAACAACTTATTTGTCTTCATTTTATGAGCAAAAATATATGTCTAGACACGGGATTAGCTAGGCATTTTTGAAGCATGACTAGAATGTATCTGGGCTAGGGTTTCTTAGTATAATTATAGAAATGATGTTTCTCTGCCTTTTTCGTTTTGTGAACAGATTTTTGGCAAGTTATATGCTGATATTTTGAAATTTGAATTGGCGCACATTTATGCAGTTGCGTGTTTATGTGCAGCTGAGACTGTCTTAGGTTGTTTAAGTTTGAACTGTTTATGGACTATGACATGCATCCTGGAAATATTGTTTTAGCATTTAAAGGTGATCCAGGGCATAAATCCGCTGAGATGAAAGGATGAGCTATGATTTTTTATATGCTGCTTCCGTACTCATTTTCTAACTTTAGAGATGAAACACATGTATCACCACATTTCTTATCAATTGGCATCGCATTTTGTTAAATGTTCCTACAATCTTAGCTTTCTCCATTCATTGCTTCATTTTTTTGATAGTTTCTGCATATTTGGTCCTTAATTTCAGGATGTACTTAATTATTTAGAGAAAGCTTTTGGTGTTAGTCAAGGCGAGAATGGGAGTAGCGTGCAGCAGCAATCTGCTAACTTAGTGGGGAAGTCTTCTTCTGTACCTAACAGTTCGTTGATTTCAGATGCTTCTAATCAAGAGTCTTCTGTTAGTATAAATGCTTCGGAAAAGCCTTTGTCCAGAACATTATCAGAGGAGACACTAGTCGACTATGAAACTATGCTATCAACTCTGGACATTGGTGGACAGGATGCAGTAAGAGCAATGGGTTTTCCATCTTCAGTCGATCTCTCCCGGAGTCCGATTGATAAGACCATCACAGCTGTTGATTTCAAGCTTAAGTTGCAACTGTATAAGGTTCGGTTTTTGCTTCTGACTGGAAATTTGAAGGCAGCAAAGCGTGAAGTCAAGGGTGCTATGAATGTTGCACGAGGAAGAGATTCGTCCATGGCTCTGCTCCTAAAATCCCAGCTTGAGTATGCACGTGGCAATTACCGCAAAGCTATTAAGCTTTTGATGGCTCTTGGGCTTCGGACAGAAGCTGGAATCTCTAGCATGTTTCTTAACAATCTAGGATGTGTTTATCACCAACTGGCTAAATATCACTCAGCCACCATATTTTTTTCGAAGGCACTGTCTAGTAGTTCATCAATTCGAAAGGAGAAGCCTTTGAAGCTATCTAGCATCTCCCAAGATAAATCTCTTTTCATTGCATATAACTGTGGCATACATTACTTGGCGTATGGGAATCCAATACTTGCTGCCCGGTGTCTCCAGAAGGCTCTTTTGGTTTTTTACAACCAGCCTCTTTTTTGGTTTCGACTTGCTGAGTGCTGTCTCATGGCTTTGGAAAAGGGACTATTCAAGACTGGCGATGCTCCTGATGAGACTATTAAGCTTTATGTCGTCGGCAAAGGAAAATGGAGGCAAATAGCTGTGAAAGATGTACCAGAAAATGGGCTAACAGATCTGATTGAGAATGATTGCTCTCTTGGCAGCGATGGACAGCTTAATCTCTCTCTGAAACTTGCTCGCTTGTATCTTTTGAATGCATTGCACATATTAAATGAAAGTGAATCAAGTCAAGCCCATTCAAGTTTGCCTCCCGATGGTTTCTTGGATGGAACTGAGTTGACAGAAGAAACAATTTCCTGGAACTCAAACCACAGAACATTACCTGGTATAGATGCCAAACCATTAAATGCGGGCTTAGGGCAGCTTAATGCGAATGGAGATGTAAAAGACCAGAAGACAGGAACAAGTCAGGAAGTTACGAGTGGTTCTCTCTCCATGTATGAAGATAATCGCAGAAGACAATTGAGTCTAATGAAGCAAGCCATTCTTGCTAACCAGGCGTATGTGGAGTTAGAGTTGGAAAATCCTATGGAGGCCCTGTCATACGCTTTGTCTATCTTGCAGCTTCCAGATTGTTCCAGAATATACACTTTTCTCGCTCATATGTATGCAGCAGAGGCTCTTTGCTTTCTGAACAGGACCAAGGATGCTGCAGAACATTTGTTGGTTTATATGTCGGAAGGAAATCAGATTGAATTGCCATATGGTGAAGAGGATTTTGAGCAATGGCGAACGGAACGAATCTTTGATCCTGAAGAGACAAATGGAGGTACAGTAACTGCTAATAATTTTTCTTCAGAGGAGACTCAAGTTCTGATGTTCCTTAAGCCAGAAGAAGCACGTGCAACCCTTTATGCGAATCTTGCGGCCAAGTCAGCCTTGCAAGGTGAACTCGAGACGGCTCAACAATTAGTCGCACAAGCGTTAGCCATGCTACCCGCTAGTCGAGAAGCCACTCTAACTGCCGTCTATGTACATCTCATGCTGGGGAATTCACAGGAAGCTCTTGCCAAGTTGAAACAGTTTAATCATGTCAGGTTCTTACCCTTCACCTGTACTTTGGATAAATCTTCTTAGTGGCTGAAGTGGTGGTGGCCTTTTATGTTCTCTGTCCAGTCCATTGCGCCTTAGTGGGTAGTTAGAAGTAGATGGATAATCCTCAAGAGGATGTGTAACATGGTATAGTTTGTCTTACAGAATAAATCTGTTTTGTTTTTAATTTTTAAATTTTAGGCTTTATTGTTCCGTGGTGTGGCTGTGTTTTGGTTAGTCCAGATGCCCACCCCCTTTTCCCATATTTGAGGTGTAGTTCTGATTCAATTACTGTTTTAGTAGTTTAGTTGCTAGTGGAGAGATGGGGAAGTGAATTTGCTCTTTTACTATAAAAAGGACATTGAAATTTTTTCTTTCTCCTTTTCACCAATATCAATTTTAAGAGGTCTTCTTTCGATGACTTTTCTTTACGGTGGCTTCTATCCATTCACTCTATGGCAGATCGAAGGGATGTATATACGCACATGATGTTGGTTTTGATTTTCTTGGTTTCGGCTTCTTCCTTTTGGGGCTTTAATAGAAGAGTTGGTCCACTTCTTGTAATGACTCATCTGAAAGCTAATTCTTGGTCCCAGGCGGGAACACAATCTCTTTCTTTTATGTTATGTGAAAAGATCAAGTTGGTTCACTGCTCAGAGTGCCGTACACTGCTTTAGTCCTATGATAATGTCAATCACTGTATCATTTTGGAAAAGTACCTGTTGATTCTTACCGCGTCCAGTCGATATAAGGTAGGATTCATTTGTGTTTTTTAAGTTGGAGGAACTTTAGGTGGTTGCTCGGGCTTTGGTTGAATGGGCCACTAGTATCTGTTCCTTTGCCATCATAGATGGATGAGCAGGTTAAAGTGTGTTTCATAGCCAATTTGTGTAATTGTCAAACTAGTGCAAGCTCAGAGCATGTTTTTGGCCAAAAATCCAATGAAGCATTTATCTTTTATTTTTTTTAATTTCTGGTTTTTTGGCATCTGCTAGGTTTGATAGTTCTGACATTTGGTGTCCTAATAGCAACTTCGCCTTATCCCCATTTTACATCGCGGTCTTAAGGTGGCATGCGATAGTTACACAGTACTTCGGGCACATTCTTCTACTTTCATCCACCATCAAGTTGGAGCACACTGTAGATTTTCTAAGTTTTCCTCCAAATGTCAGGCTTCTTAATTGGCCGCGCTTGAGATTTATCTACAGTCGCTGTATCACCAGCAAATAGCGGATTAAAGAATACTACTGTGCATATGCTTAGCTAGCTCGTTCGATTACCCGAGGGAAGATGAGAACATTATTCTAGTTCATGCCGTGTTTATCGTCTTCCGGTTCAAGTAATTTTGTTAACTAGGAGTTTATGTGATATTGATATGATGGGTGGTGAATAGTCAGGCGCATGAGATGAGCCAGTTAAGAAAGGGGCAAGTGAAGATAGGAGAAAGATATATATGCAGAGATGAGAATGCAATGAAAGAACTTTTGAGATAGTCGTTTGATTTTAGAAGTAGAATATGATTTCACAAATGAGGTGTCACTTAACTCTTCGAGTCTTACAGTTGGATTGGAGATGGCTTGTGAAGCGGTTTGTAAGTACGAGAGCCACTCTTCCCTCTTAAGGTCATCATTTGCGTTAGAGATGGCAATTTGTGTCGTTGCGTCATTATCGTGTCTCATTTTAAATTTAGGTCTAATTCGAACGGACACCGTTTTGACAATTGTGCCACATTCTTGAAAGCCATACACAGCATGACTCGTCACGTTTAACATGTGCAAGCTATTATCTGTAGTGTAAACGTGTAAGAATGTGCTTAAACGCATATTAACATGTCTAAATGTGTCTAAACGTGTAATGAACGACACGTCGACTGGTTTTATCCTGCATGCCTAATTGTGGCATGTATGGGTTGAAAAGTTAAACCGCGAATAAAACGCCGATGAAACTAGTCCTGTATAATCTGGGTTGATCCTTTAGTATGAGCCCACTTGACCCCATGGATTCTACTAGATCGTTACAGATGATGGGGAAGCATTTGACATTTGTTTAGCACAAGGAAATACATGTCGGGAGATCGAGATTTCTAATATGAGTTATCGAGTACAAGAGGGTCCAAACATCACTATTTATCTGAACAGCAGCTCTCTCTAAGGAGGGTGGGTGGCCAAGCCCATGGTGGTTGTGCCGGCTAGAGGCGTGTCAATGGCGGTTTGAGCTACGACGGCTAAGAGTTGCAGCGGGCTGTAATTCGCAGAGGACCAAACCATCAGAGAACAGGAAGAGGAAGGGGAAAAGGGGCAAGGGAAGAGAGGAGTACGGAGAAACAACAAGGAAGAAAAACATGTAGCCATCGACATACAACATGTTAATCCGTCTTCCTTGTAGGGACTAAACAAAACGATGTGGATCTACTTTCGAAAAAGTTTACCAGTGAATCTAGAGCATCACCCCTCGAAACTCCTACTTGCAAATGATCCGGTTAAGTGCTTTAGAAACTCAACACTACCCAAACGCTTATGTAAGAAGCTATTCACGAGAATCACTGAGGTTCGAGGCTGTTTTCAGCAAAATGGGCTCTTTCTCTTTCTTCTTGTTGAGTACATAGTTTCTGATGCCAATGCGTAATCCAGTCCGGCCCCCCTTCATGACCCCGACGGGTCCATCCCACGTCGATCCATCTTTCATTTTCTTTTCACTTCCCTAGTTCTCTCTAGGGTGACCAGTTTCAGGTATCTTATAGGCTCCACCTGAAACCTAGAACCTATCATCGGGTACAGGTTTCTCATTTTTTGGAACCTGAAACCTAGAACCTACTATGTCACAGGTTCCATGGTCCAATAGGCTTTTTTTTTTTTGATTTCATTTTTAGGTAAACAAAATGAAAATGAATGCAACAATACCAAACAAACTTATCATTCACCAAAGAGAATACAAAAGACTATTTTTCTTAGCATCATGATTCAAATAAATATAATTAAAATAAGAAGTCATTGCCCGAATCGATACGCAACAGAATTCACGAGGGATTAGCATGTCGATCAATACAATATCCATATCCAGGACCACAAACAAAATTGGAAGCAGGAAAAAGGAAAGAAAGATGAGCTTTTTGGTTCTCAAACATCCATGAAAATTTATTCCAAATTCTGACCACCTAAAATAAAAAGAAACAACAATTATAGTTGATAACTTAATAATAAATTTAAAATTGAAGTGTCGCGTATCAATTATTTGTAACTGCAATTACAACTTTTTCTTTTCTCCTTCCACCATCCATTATCACCATGATTCTAACTATGCAACCATCAAGCTTAAGATGTTTCTTGAAAGAGTGAATGGCGAAAACAATTGACCTCACTAAAGAACAAAAACTTGGCATAGATACATGAAAATGACTACCCAAACATAACAAGTTAAGCAAATCAATGAGCATGTGAACAGTGGGTACTCCAAAACCATAATAAATCAAAGGTCTAAACAAACCTTAGGAAATGTTTTATGTGACAAGTTAAACAAAGCAATGAGCATGCGGACGGAGATGAGAATTTGAGAGCGAAGAAGTGAGAAGTAAGGAGTAGTAAGAAAATTAGGGATTTTAGATTTAGGGTTCTCGGTTTCCGGTTCCATTCCCGGTTCTCGGTTCCGGTTCCCTATTTTGGTTCCGGTTCCTGGTTTCGGTTCCGAACCGAGAACCGAACCGGAACCGGTGGTTCCAAAAAAAATGGAACCGGGAACCGAAACCTCCCTCCCTAGAACCGAGAATCGAACCGGACCATTGGTTCTACCGTGGACCCGTCCTCACCCCTAGTTCTCTCACTGCCTCTATGGGCAGCGCTGCGTAGATAAAGGAGAATACGATCCAAGTATTTGAAATGTTTTCTCTTAGTGGATTCTAATTTAGAGGGTTTTAGCATGTAATAAGAAGACTATTGGGCTGGTGATTTTACGGGGAAAATTGTCCAAAAAAAATGCCAAACCTATTGTATGGCGGCCAATTTAGTTTTTAATCTTTTGGCAATTTGCTAATTTAGTCCTTTCAGCCAATTTTGACCGGAAATCGCTGATGTGGTGATTTAGTTAGCGCCGGCCATCCTACGTGGCAGAAAGAAAAAGAGAAAAAAGAAAAAAATTTAGAAAAATAATTAATTACAAAAAATTGACCATGTCAATGTCGGCCGTGTCATGTAGGATGGCCGATGATAACTAGATCGCCACGTCAGCGATTTCAGGCCAAAATTGATTAGAATGACTAAATTGACAAATCTTCAAAAGGTTTAGGACTAAATAGACAAATAGTCAAAATGTTTAGAACTAAATTGGAACAATTGAAATGTTTATGACTAAATTAGCACAATCAAAAATTTTATGACGGAATTGACTACCGTACGATAGGTTTATAACTTTTTAGATAATTTTTAATGATTTTATGATCTTTGGGTCACCAAGATCGAGTCTTAATTAATTGTTGATGATTAGTAGGTGAGATTCGGTATTAATGCTCGAATGATTCTAAATTGGAAGGGCATGATTTCCTTGTCGCACAATAGACTAAACCCAAAAACTTTAGTACATATGTTTGGATTGAATGGTTCTAAATTGAAAGGTCATGACGTCCACGTTGTGTAACAGACTAACCCTAAAAACTTTAGTATAAGTTTGGGTAGGAATGTAAAAATCCAAAAGAAAAATACCCTTACGCCCGTCACTTTTATTATTTAAACAAGGGATAAGTGCACTGAAAGTCCTAAAACTTGTCACGAAAGTGCAATTGAGTCTTAAAACTTTCAAAAAGTGCAGTCAAGTCCTAAAATTTATTATCAAAGTGCAATTGAGTCCTAAAACTTTCATAAAATCCAATCGAGTCATAAATTTTTCAAAAAGTGGAAAGACTTGATTGGATTAATTTGACAAATTTTAGGACTTAATTGTACTTTTTGAAAGTTTTTGAACTCAATTGCACTTCATAACAAGTTATAGGACTTAATTGCACTTTTTTGAAAATTCTAGGACTCAATTACACTTTTGTGACAAGTTTTGTGACTTCCAATGCACTTATCCCTTTAAACAATGAGTTCCACAATCGTTTGATGAATACTAATCCTATTAACTATTTCGGGCATATTCGTCAAAAGATATATATCCATCTTACGTTGAATTGATTTTTTTCTCATTAACTTCTTGTTTCTTCTTTGAGTTTTCGTGGAAGCGATTCGATCTTTTGTTTGATTTAATATACCATAAGGGACTTGAATTGATAAGTTTTTGTTTTGGATATTGTATTAGTAATATATTCCGTTAATTATTGGTTTTCTAAAAAAGTCTCTTTTCTTTTTTTGTTAAATGATAGAGTAAAAAAAGGGGAGAATTACATTTGGCCCGAGTACCTAGGATTGTGGCAAGTCACCACCTGAAGCTCTAATTTTCGCAATTTACAGCCTTACTTTTGAAATTGGTGGCACTGTGCCCTCTAGTGTTGATTCCAGCCAAACTTTTGTCACATATTTGACCAAGTAATCGCACATAATTAGTTATGAAGGTGAATTTGGTCATATATCATCTATACATGCGAGAAAAAAATAAGGACTACTAAAAAATATATTTCAAGACTATATATGGATATGAATTTGGCGTTGACTCTAGCCAAATTCTTGCTAGAACTTTAGTCATAAGCTCTGACATGCAATATAATTCTGAATAATTTTCCTACTTTTTTATATGTACATACTTATATGACGCATTTGCACTAAGTAATCAATCACGTACCGTCACATGGTCAGAGCTCCAAGTAGAATTTGGTCGGACCCGATGCTAGGGGACACATTGCAACTTGTTTCTAAAATTTGAGGGACAAATTCAAAAATTGATAGGCTGACGTCAACTTACAACAACCATAAAAGCTTGGGGGTAATATCTATTTTGCTCGATAAAATAGATTGCTTTCGTGATTTAGAGTTTGAGAGAGAGAGAGAGTTCTCGTATTTTCATTTACCATACATTTCACAAAGTGAATTTTTTTTCTTCCACCCCCTTAAACTAATAGTCCAATCACGCAAACCTACAGAGAATCCTTAGTTTATAGATTGGGTTGCGTTTTCCTCCATTTTTTGTCTTGGAGGAAATTTTCTCTAATTTCATATCTGATTGGTGACTTCTAAACATGGACATCATCCGCATGTAATATTAACTGAAAATATGGCCGTTCTATCTTATGTACCTTGTTTTGTTTGTAGGACCAATGTCACTTCTCCTATAATTAGCAAATAGCCAGGCATAATGTAGGGCGTGCGTGGAGATGGATGCCAAAAGAAGAGCAATTGGAGTCTCTTTCGCAAAAAAGTTTTCGTCGATGTAGAAATAGCTTTTCGTTCCCTCTCTAAAGTTGGTAACTGCTAATGCATCTCTCTCTCTCCAAATAAAACTGAAAAAAAAAGAGAAAAACTGTTATAATTTAACAAGTTATACGTAATGATTCGAGCAGCGTTTTGTACTAAGTGGTTCAATATATACATTCATACTCTTCGATTTCCATCTTGAATACAGTAGACCATATTCGATAAGTTGATAGTTTCAATATATAGCGCGGCTAAATTGGAGTCAACATGAAGGTCCTTCCCAGATGCATGCATCGAGAGGAATATGTTAGGGATGTTATTTCATATTGACATATCGAAAGCTTCTTATGATGTTAGATGAGTGAGTTTCCTCATGTAAGGTAATGAATGGACGAACTCTATTAAGATTCACATTTAAAAATGTTCCACTTGTTGGTTATAATTCTATGGTACGTAGTACATACACTTGGAAATAATTATGCTGCAAAATTGACGTAGTTCGTTGTGCTGATCCGTGTAATAGAATTTCACATATGTTTGCCATACCATATGACTTCTCCCTCAAGCTGCCTAAGCGAGAATGTTGATTAAAATGAATAACAATTAGTTGTGTAGCGATGTATGCGGACTCCAAATATGAAGGTTCCCATTGATTCTAAATGAATTTCCATATTAAATTGGTTTAGGAAGTTAATTTACAAGGTCAGGTTATAGATTCTTATTGCGTGTACTTGAAGTTCGCTATATGACTTTGTAGATCAGTTTTGAAAATCAGAGGGTATATTCTTAGCATTACTAAATCTATCCTTGACCCTTGTTTTGCTGACGCAAGAGATGATAAATCTAAATGCTGCAAGAATCTTAGATCCAACAACGTACAATTGATATGATAGTTGACCAAAAAAAAAAACAACAATGAAATTGATGAACAAAAGAACTGATTCGAATCTTTCTTGCTTCAATCAGTCAACTAGGAAAAAGAAACACACCCAGCAATCATTTAAGGACAAATGCTTGAAGATTACAACCCAACATCCATCAATGACGAATCAAGAAGGGAGAGAGAGAGAGAGAGAGAGAGAGAGAGAGAGTTCGACATCCTCTCATGTCGAACTCATCCGCGTGAACTCATCCGCGTGTCCGGCAATCTAAGCAACCTGAAAAAAACACAAAAATATTTGAGAAATTTAATGAGCAAACAGTAGTTTAGGCCAACGAGCATTTAAACCCAGAATGTCCTGCGTATGAAGAAGATATTTCACGAGAGAGAAGAAGGGTACATTCTAGGAGTCACGTGACCATTTCTGTCACGCACTTTGAGGTTTGTGTCCCCCCAATCAGAGTCCATTGTTGGAGAGAGACATTTTCACGGGGTAAAAAAGAAGGAAAATGTGGGTCTCATTCGCTTGGGGAGATGACAATTTAATTATAAAGTTTGTACCCTTTCCATCACCTATCAAAGAATTATTTTCCCTGCCACACTGGTTGTGAAAATAGTGTTTTCTTGTTCTTTTTTTGGACATCATAACCAGCTAACACAACTCATGCAACCTTTCCAAGGAACATTTCTCACTGTACTTTTTTTCTGGGTTCACTCGTGTTCTCTTTATCAAGAGAATGTTGTGTTGTCCGTAGATGAATCTCTCGATAAAGCTATAATACTATAACATAAACACATTCATATATTATCAGCAGGATGTACGTGGTCTCTCTATTGCCAACGTTAGCGTGATGAACCGATATTCAAGACACGCTGTATCTTCACAAGTTACTTCAAGCAAAGAGAAAACAAAAGATGGTTAGGGTTCTTGAGATATAACTTGGGATAAATACTTAACTTGGATCTAGAGAGAGCAAGTGTAACCGGGAGGAGGAGCCTTGCCACAAGTGAGCAGGAGCTGAAGAGCGAGAGGGACATAAATGCTGAGGTTCAAGAGCTTGAGCTTGAGGGTAGTGCACAAGCACACTGCCGCTTCGAGCTCGACAAGCCCTTTAAGCACTGGGCAACACTCATTCACCAACGGGTCGCCAAGCCCTATGTGCACCAATCCTCCCAGCAAGTCCACACAAGCCCCTAACTTGAGTGAGTCGATTGGGCACGTTGCCGGGGTCGTCGGTGGGGGCGGGCAGGGCTTGGTGACGGGGGGAACAGTGATGGGAGGGACGGTGATGGGGGGTACGGTCACGGGGGGCACCGTGATGGGCGGCTTAACAATTGGGGGTAGGGTGACGGGCGGCTCAACAATTGGGGGTAGGGTGATGGGCGGCTCAACAATGGGGGGTAGGGTGATGGGCGGCTTGACGATCGGTGGGAGGGTTATAGGTGGTTTGACAATGGGGGGCAATGTGACTGGGGGCAATGTGACTGGCGGCTTGACGATCGGCGGCAATGTGATGGGCGGTACAACAACGATGGGCCCCTTGCGGTGGTGCTTGTGGCCAGGCTTCTTGGGCTTCGGGGCGTGCCTGCTGCAGGAGCCGCAGCCGAGGATGGGGGCGGCCGAGGAGAGGCAGAGCATGAGGATAAGGAAGAGGGCATGGATCTTGGAGGAATCCATGGCTGCCTCAGAGAGAGAGAGAGAGAGAGAGAGAGGGTTTATGGAAGGTGATGAATCATATTAGTAGAGAGCACTGATATATAGGAAGAGGGAGGAGTGGAAGAGAACAAAATCCATTAATTAAGAGGCACATCACGTGAACTTTGGGCAGGCTCAAGGGGCAGCTGCCAAAATTTGCTAGTTGGCAAAACTGCCTTTCAAGTGCATGAATCCATTGGAAATTTATTAATCATCATTTTTAAATAATCGTTCGTAACTTAGGTACCGCATGATAACCATTCTGGTTCTGTCCAGAACTGATTTTTTATTCCCAGAATCAATTTTGGACCAGAAACCCGTTTGTTAACGCAATTTCATTTTTCTATTTCTGGGACAAGTTTTTGTTCCAGAACAGATTCTGAACCAGAAATCAGAACAAAAAAAAAGTTGGTTTTCTATTTCTAGACAAAAAATGAGAATCATTTCTGAGAGAACTCTTTCTTCAAAACACATGTTCATCTGGAAGTCACGATCTTTGAGGTGAGAAAAAAAAGCAAATAATCAAAAATTTCAAAACTTCACATAATGGTTTAAAATCTGTGGCTACCCACTTTGAGCGAAATTTAAATTTTTTTAGGTACCGAAAAAAATAAAAAAATCAAAAATTTCAAAATTTCACAAAATGGCTTTGAATACCTATGGCCACCCACTTTGAGCGAAATTTAATTTTTTTTAGATGCCAAAAAAATAAAAAATAATCAAAAAATCTAAATTTTAAAAACTTCACAGAATATCTTAGAATACATGTGGCCACCCAATTTGAGCGAAATTTAATTTTTTTTAGATGCCGAAAAATATTTAAAAAATAAAAAAATAAAAAATTTCAAACTTCACAGAATGGCTTAGAATACTTGTGGCTATCCACTTTGAGTGAAATTTAAATTTTTTTTATGTGTCCAAAAAAATAAAAAAATAAAAAATTTAAAAACTGTACAGAATGGCTTAGAATGCCTGTGGCCACCCACTTTGAGAGAAATTTAATTTTTTTTAGATGCCAAAAAAATAAAATAAGAAAAAAAGCAAAAATTTCAAAACTTCACAGAATGGCTTAAAATACCTGTGGCCACCCACTTTGAGCGATATTTTATTTTTGTAGGGACCTAAAAAAATAAAAAAAAAGCAAAAAAGTAAAAATTTTAAAACTTCACATAATGACTTAGAATACCTGTGGCCATCAACTTTGAGCAAAATTTTAATTTTTTTAGGTGCCGAAAAAAATAAAAAAATAAAAAATTCAAAACTTCACAGAATTGCTTAGAATACCTATGGCCACCCACTTTGAGCGAAATTTAATTTTTTTAGGTGCCAAAAAAATAACGATAAGCAAAAAAGCAAAAATTTCAAAACTTCACAGAATGGCTTAGAATACCTGGCCACCAACTTTGAATGAAATTTTATTTTTTTAGGTGCCGAAAAAAATAAAAAAATAAAAAATTTCAAAATTTCACGGAATGGCTTTGAATACATGTGGCCATCCACTTTGAGACAAATTTAATTTTTTTTAGGTGCTGAAAAAAATTTAAAAATCAAAAATACCATTTGGGCACCTAAAAAAATTAAATTGCACTCAAAGTGGGTGGCTAGAGGCATTCTAAGTCATTCTGTGAAGTTTTAAAATTTTTGATTTTTTTGTGTTTTTATTTTTTTTCGGCACCTAAAAAAATTTAAATTTCACTCAAAGTGAGTGGCCACAGATATTCTAAGTCATTCTATAAAGTTTTGAAATTTTTGATTTTTTGCTTTTTTTTCACCTCAAAAAATTAAAATTTCACTCAAAGTGGGTGGCCACAGGTATTCTAAGCTATTCTGTGAAGTTTTGAAATTTTTGAGTTTTTGAATCTTTTTAGGCACCATAAAAAATTTAAATTTCACTCAAAGTGGGTGGCCACATATATTCTAAACTATTTTGTGAATTTTTGGAATTTTTGACTTTTTGATTTTTTTTTGGCACTTAAAAAAATTTAAGTTTCATTAAAAGTGAGTGGCCACAGGTATTTTAAGTCATTCTATGAAGTTTTGAAATTTTTGATTTTTTGATTTTTTTTGAAAAAATTCAACAAATTTCCTATTTTCTAGAAAAATCTGAATTTTTTTTTATTTTTTGGAAATTGTGATGAATTTTTCTAGAATTTTTCAATTTTTTTGGATTTTTTGAATTTTTTTGAGATTTTTAGGAATTTTTTGGATTTTCTAATTATTTTTATTCCATTTAAAAAAAAATGATTTTTGTTCCTGGAAATAGAATTTCGTGTTGTTTATCAAATGGGTTTTTGTTTCAAGAAATAGAAATTTTGTGCTGTTATCAAACGGGTTTCTGTTCCAGAAATAGAAATTTTTGATCGTTATCAAACGGGTTTCTTTTATCAGAAACTCATCCTGAAACCAGAAATAGTAAAATCTATTTCTGGTTCAGGAACTTATTCCAGAACAGAATGGTTATCATTCGCTATCTTAGTGAGCGACGAGTGATTTTACTTCGGGGGTATAACACTGAACCGTAGGTGATAGACTTCGAGTAGTGACTGTTCACGTCCACGTGATTAGTCTTTGCGCAATTCAATTTGTATTTATCTCGTTGATACCCTTTAATCTCTTGTTATGCGATCTGCTTAATTTTCTTTGCTTTACATACGATAAAATGTGGGACCATTGAAGTGGATATGCTTTTTATTATATGATGATGATCGGAAGCGGAACTCGCACCTTCCTTGCTTGCGCCGGTTATGGAAGATAACTCCGCACGGTTGCTAGGAGGGCCTTGCCCTTAGCCCGAGATAACTCCGAGGTGCAATGCAAGCCAGAGGATTTGAACTTGCATCGCATGGGTGGGATTGAAGTACCGTGAGCAGTTGCCCTTTATCTCATGAGGCGACTTTTTTTTATTTACATGATCGGCTTATTATATGGGAAACTTTTAGGTATTCTTGAAACACGATTCCATCTTAGTCAATTGCAACATACCATTTGTTTTTTCAAAACCGATAACACTTGATAATTTATTTGGGCGAATAGATAATGTTATTTCCTTGAAATGCCCACGATATCTTTAAAGGTTAGAAATTCATTATGTATCAACAATAATTAACTACGAATTCACATATCTCAATGCAATGTGCATATACATTCTATGAACAATTCGAACTTATCGTCATCGTTCAAAATGTACATACATTTACGTATGGTTCCTTTCTTTATAGAGAGGATACTTGCCCAGCTACATTTTAGTACACCAATCAAATCTCATATAAGGAAAAATAAATGAACTTGCATTTCCATCGAATGTGCATGAGGAGCTCTGGGAGTTGAACTTTGTAATAGAGACGACAATTCGATCAGTCCACAATATAGATACACACTATCACCCTAATTGTAAAGAATACATTTTAGCCTTGCAATGGAGGATTACAATTACTCAATTTATGCTTAAAATGCATTTTTTGTGACATTCCGAAATTTCGCCCATTTGGGATTTATGAAATAGCTGATTTTATTAATGTACTTGTAGGTAGTCTCGCCTGGAACTGATCATTCCTAGGAAACTAACCATTAGGGAAAGGCTAATTAGGGATTTAAATTCGTACGACTAGAGAGAGTCGATCGTGACCCGACTCTCGATCAGAAAATCTTCGAGGTGACATTTTGAGCCAATGAGGGCCGATCGTAGGATAGTGAAGGGCCGATTCGTCACTGTTACACTAGTGGATCACGGGTGATTCCGTTTGACCACGAAATGAATTGACGAACGATGCAGAATCTATACTGAACGATCGTACCCATCGGAACTAGTAATTGATCCTTGCGATTTTATTGACAATTGAGGTCGCCACGATTTGAACGAACTTGCACGTGACTTGATTCAGTATCAGTCACGGGTCGATTCTTCGAATTTCCCTGAAAGCCGCCCGTTAGTCTGAGATATGCACAAATTACATTATATAGAATTCAATTATTAAATTGAGACCAAATTGGGCATCGAAAAATTAGGAAGTCACGGCAGAACGTTAGGACGACGCTGCGGTTGTAAAGTGCAATTTTGGATGTGCCCGAATCCTTTAGAAAAATTCAATTTGGGCAAGAAAATGGGAAAGTGACCATTTTACCCCTAAGGATTTCTAAAGGGCTAGTTTTATAAAGCAAGGGCATTTTGGTAATTTTGCCCTAAAATTTGGAAAAGACACTTTTGCCCTTGGACTTTTTGAGAAATTCCAAGATTGCCCTTGGATATTTTGGATGAGATTCGATCTGGGCCGTCGATTTCAAGATAAGATCGAATCTAGACCGTCGGATGAAAAGATTAAAGAGGGGCATTTTGGTCATTTTACAAAATTGGGTCAAAACTTGGTAATTAAGTCAAGACCCATTTCTCTCTCTCCCATTCTCGGCTCCACCTCCCTCTCTCCCTCCTGATCTCTCTCTCTCCCACCGTGAGCTTCCCCACCGCCGGACGCCGCCCTCACGCCGCCGTGCCGCGCCGCGCCACCGCACCGCCCGTCCGCCGAGCCCCACCGCGCCACCGCCGTTCTCTCTCTCTCTCTCTCTCTCTCTCTCTCTCTCTCTCTCTCTCTCTCTCTCTCTCTCTCTCTCTCTCTCTCTCTCTCCCTCTTGGTCTCTCTTGGCCGTGAACTAGCCGAGCCGCCCAAGCCACCGCCGTGAGCCGTCGTGAGCCGATCGCCACCGCCGCCGCAAGCCGCCGCCGATCGACGCCTGTTTCTCTCTAGCCGCTTGAGTCTAGAGCCGGGTAAGTTCAATCTAAACCTCGCCTAGTTTTTCGGGTAAATTTGGACCCGTTTAGACGCTGTTTGATAGAAATTAGGGGCTGAACGAGATAACAGGCCGTAGGATTGAATTCGGGAAATTTTGGAGGAATTTTAGAGACCGAGTGTTGGCTGTGAATGGCTGTTCGAGGTGCTGTGGTGTGCTGTTGGGTACGTGGATGGTACCGTTAGGTCCGGCTCGGAATTTTATGAAAGTGCCGTGAAGAGCCGGGAATGAAATATTGTGATTTTAAGTGTGAAAATGACAGA